CATTCTCAGAACTTTATCAATATTTTCCTTGTGCAATAAACAAATCCTGTCTAACTGTAATTTGCCAGGTGCATAAAAAAATAAACATTCCAGAACAACTACTTCATTTCTTCACAGCACACAGACTTTCTTGAAAAGCTGATAGTAGCTCAACTGGTCATATAATTGACCTCTGTCCTCAGCCAGTTCAATCCACCTCGCCCCTTCGCATGCTGTGTGTTCTAACGTCTGTATGGATGTTATTTGCCCATCTAGGACTTGGCCCCACCATTAATGTTATCTTTACTTCCCGACCAAAGTCTTCTATGCTTTTAACGTATCTTAACCTCGTGACCCCGCACGTTCGTCGCGGTCGAGTTTGACCGAGTTTACGGTTGAGAAGCTGAGGAGATGGAGTGTCTGCCCCTCCAGCAGACAGGCGATGCCCTAGAGGTCAGCAACCTTGACGGATCCAGTGCCTCTTCGATCTCGATCTTACCTTCAGGCTGCGACCCAAGGCTGCCAACCCTGTTACGCGATTTAATGCTCCTGAAAATAAATGTACAGCCATAAAAAGGTATCGAAATCAACAGAAGGAACCACTTGGTAGAAGCAGGAGTTTGGAGGGATAGTATTTAGAGAAACGTGGACTTGATAAGTAACCTTTGGGTTGTACAAAATGGAATATCTTGACCAGCTGCTAACCTAAAAGTGTGCACCTCAGTCAGATGAGTACCGTTCTATCACAAGATTGTAAACATTACGAATTAAGGGACTCCCAGGTACGGAGAAGGTAATGATAGTCTTTCAGAAAATCACGTCTCCGTTAACCCTTTGAAGCCGAAGCTCGTCTTCATAATATTTACGAATCCAGACCGTACCGCGAAGAAAACACTTCACTTAACCAATAGAAGTCGAATCAGGCGGTACCACATAAGATTTAACAAAGAACATCCCGGTCAAAGCCTTAAAAGCACTGACAATAATACAGTGCAAGATGTATATTAATAATAGTTAGTCATAACGATCAGAACACTAGATTTTTAAGTATTGAATGTTAATTCGATATCTGAATACAAGGTCGAACTGATTGCAGTTACAAAGTCTGCAAGCATTCACGAAGAGATCTTTGAAATGTTATTCTGAAGGAAACTGGGACAAAATATGCAATGCGGAATACGTATATTCAGGGACAGTTATGGTACTCGAGGCTGAGAAATAGCATCTCTTTTTGTTTCTAAAATAAAGTATTTTTATACAACGCAAACAGCTTACGCAACAACTGCGCCTTTGTTTACCAAATGAGACAAGTGACACGCGACAAACAGTGTGTTAATTAAACAGCGCCACGTATTTGTTACAGAGAGTTTACAGTGATGTTGCAATTAATGTACTTAATAAGTTCAATTATATTTCATATACAGACTTCCTGCTTGAAGTTCTTGCTGCTGTACATAAAATGTGCAATATTTACCCACTTCGCTCCCACTCACATAATGTGGTCTTATTCTCTTACAACATAGGACATTATTTTGCCGAAAGGTTATCTACAAAATATTTCGTTCCCTAATATGTTATAATACATTAATAACAGATGTTAAACAATAGGTTCATCAATTTAAGTGAAGTGCTGTATAATTAATGTGTTTAACTTTCTCCATCGTGTGGTTTCTTTAATACAACGACGTTTCGGAAGTTAGTTTTACTTCCGTCTTCAGTGACATTCCAAGGCCGAGACTAGCTCTGCCAGGGTGACGAATATAATGTGGGTTTTCATCCACACTGGTCAGTTTAAGACGGAAGTGTAAGCAGCCTCAGAAACGTCCGTATTTTATGTTATATGCTGGTCATTTTGTAAGACAGAAAAGTAGAGTAAGAATCGTATTGAAAGGATACGAATCAAAATGAAGAATTTTTTGAGACTTCAAAGACGAAACATGCTGCTGGAGAGAGAGAGAGAGAGACAAAATCACTTTACGCAAAAAATGCATAATATGCAGTTGAATTTTCAACTTGTACAAGGAATGCATTTCCATGCAATAACGTGTTTGCATCACGACTATTCCAAGTCCTGGGTTTGTCAAGGCTGAGCGGGGCCCACGGTATGCAAAATGTACTTCTGTTACAACACACGTTCGTAAAACCAAGTGACGCCATCGGCCAATTAGTTGCGAAATTATTTCACGTTAAGTAGGATCTCAAATTCCTTTCCTTCCGTCACTGATACCCATAACGGAGCAGGTATAATAATACGACCATCATCCAGACGTGTTCTTCGCCAGTTTGCATTCATTTTTGACCTCATTGTAGGGCATACTTTTATTTCTACAGCTGCGAAACTTCCCGCATTACATGTATGTTCCGTTGTCGTAAATATTTTTATTTTGGTTTAAGGTTCTCACGGCGGTGAAGCTGTGGATTGTGGTATTCTGGGTTGTGACGCCGTGTAATCTTGCAGGTGGTTACCAACGTTTCTGAGGAACGTATCGCCTCTCTCTTCAGGGTATGTGGGCGATATTTTCCTCTGAAATGTTAGTTAACCATCTACAATCCTGCACGCGTCATAACCCAGAAAATCGACGCAAATGAACTTACTTGAGTTTCGTAAAGTGCAGATTACACCATTTTGAAAATTGTTCTTGCCGAATGTGAAGAATTAGTCCTTTTTGGAACATTGTACCCTCTCCCGCGAGTTAACTCCAGTCTGGAGATCCTGAATGAAGATAATGCAACGTGAATATTGCAGAGGGTTGGTTTTGTCGGGTAGACATTAATGAAGGCGACTTACCTCTGCAGGTGTGTCTGTGTCTCCCACGTACTTCTGGCTTTATATATGGGTTGGCAGACATCCTGCGTGGTGTGCCCACTCTCATGTACAGACCTCGAGCCCGAGATTTCTAATAACCACCCGAGCCAAAACTGGAAAGCGGTCGTGGAAATGCGCTCAGGGCCCATATCAGTCGCGTTCTGTATTAACTGCCTTTGCAGATAGAGCAGATCTGTTCGTAAGTTTGTTTGTTATTTCACTTAATGACACTTTTTCAGCTACAGGTGTCAGGCCTACATAAGTGAATTGTAAATCATGAACTTGAAAGGAAGCGATATTCCTCAGTCACAGCATTTGTTGGTAAAGAGACCATTCGGAAGACCTAGGCGTAGATGTTAGGATAATATTAAAATGGATTTATAGGAAAATAGGTGCGAAATGGATTCATGTGGCTCAGGTTTGGGCTGGTGGCGGGATTTTCTTTACACTATATTAAACCTTCTGATTGCGTAAAAGCCAGGGTATTTCTTTAGTATTTGAACGACTATTAGCTTTCGCAATTAGGACTGTGCTCTATGTGGTACTACAAGCCGGGATATTCTAACCCAACCAAGGGACTGGCTGTTTATGAACAGAAATACTGGGGTTCGATTCCAGTAAGATGATCTGCTCTGGGGCCCGCCCTGCTTCAATCTGAAAGGGTGCCGATAACTATTTACCTGGAGACAAAGCGTAGTCCCCATAGAACTATGGTGCCAAGGCCTAGAATGCATGGGAATCCATCTCCACGCCGTCTATACATCTCCATAAAGTGGAACGCAATGGAAAGTTTGCGTTAACCGGACGTCACAATACTTTATTTTTGGGAGGCCCTCGGTTTGACTCTTTGTACGGAGGATGGATTCGTTAATTAAAGTTATTTGTGGCTTCATCTGTCCGTACAAAATTATGGAATCATGTCATAAAATTGGCCACGATCGTTTCGTGTGACGTCCTAACGAATTCATCGTTTTCAGTTTTCTGCGGCCATGCACTTGGGAAAGCATCGTCAAATTAAAAGGCTTTGTAATCCTGGGGTCTCGGGTTCGAATTTATAACTTGTGTTGGGCAAGGCCTTGGTCTAGGCAACACGGAGTTTTCCTCCGTGGCATCCCAACAATTACTCCATTCACACACAGAAGCAGGCAATGGCAAACCACTTCTGGATCATCTGCCAAGAACGTATATGAACAGGTCCCAGTCCGAGAAAAGGATGGAAGGATCCTGTTCATATGGACCTGTCGTCAGACAGAACACTAAATAAAATAAATAGTTATTCATTTAAGCCTCTCAGGAACAGAATTCAAAGACTGTTCCCGCACCTCCAGCCAGAGGTCTCTCCTTTCCTCTGTGAGAGTGTTGGCACTTGCTTTATCGAGTTCTGTGCGGTGCATGAGTGACACAATGCACATGTACCGGGGGTCACGGACACACGACACCCTCAGCTGCGCCCACATGACGTAATTCGAGGCCCGGTGGCCTCTACGCACAGAATTCTGCATTACGTGCTTTTCTTCAAGATTTGCCTCACTTACTCCATGGAGTTGGACGTTCGCTCAGTCACTCAAGAAGTTCCCAACATTTTGAGGAAACCGAAGGTTCATTGCCGTGTTCACAAGATCCCGCCACTGGTCCATACCCTGAGCCAGATGAATCCAGTCCATATCACCCCATCCTGTTTCTCCAAGATCCATTTTCATATTATTCTCCCACCTACGTCTAGGTCTTGCTAGTGGTTCTTTCCTTCTGGTTTGCCCACCGAAACCCTGTATGCATTTCTCTTCTGTAAGCGTCACTAAGTCTTAAAAGATGCGAAAATCTGAGGTGATTACATCCTCTTGAAGAAAGTTGGTCTGCTGGGAGTTGTCGCAATTCTGTCTTCTACTTGGAGAATTAAATTTCCTAATTATTCAAGTACCTGTTCTACTCCAATATTATCCATTTTAATTAATATCTGCATTTAAACTACTTTTTTAATAAAAATCGTTATTAATGTAAATATATAAAGATTTATTTGGAATTTGCTTCCCTGGACCGAATTGTGGAATATTTATTCTTGTATTTGTGATTTATTTAAAGACGCTGCCAGGACCTTAGACTGTATAACATTGTACCATAGGACGATTAATGAGAAACAAATTGGAAAGGATATGGAAGGAAGCGTTACACATCCGTGAAGTGACCAGACTACTGATTCGTCTTTTGCGTTTTCCAGGTTGCGTTAAATTGGAATCGGCCACGATGGGGCGCAGTGGCTACACATGTGTGAGACACATATTCTGCACGCTGAATGTCCTCATGTGGGTAAGTGAAAATTTTCTTTTCGATTCAGGAGGTAGTCTATTCTATGTACGTCCAAATTTGAAAATTCATATAATGTAGAAACAGGAATTGTGCACCAGATCCTTTGTTGTTTCCTTACAGCTGTGTGGCTGTGGTATCCTGGGCGTAGGTATCTGGCTTCGACTCTCATACGCGGGATACACCCAGTTGCTCCCCAAATACAGCATGATAAGTGCCGACAGCCTCTGCATTGCGGTAGGCGTTATTATTTTTATTGTGGCATTCTTTGGATGCTGTGGTTCCTGGTTCCAGAGCAGATGTATGCTCGTCACTGTGAGTAGTTTCCTTCATATTTTTATATTAAGGGATAAATTTTAGTCATACTTCTTAATCGGAAGTTTATCCTTGTTACAACGTAGATGTTAGTACACCAATATAATAATGTTTGAAAATTATGACCTTTCGGTTTCTGGGAAGTCATTTGGAGAGGGAAAATATGAACATTATATGCAAGAAATTATAACGAGATTTCAAGAAGACTTATAAAATAATTTGAACTTATGGGTGGATGCATGTATAAATTTAAAACTTGTTGTTAGAGTAGAGGAATCAGGTTCACTAACAAACGATATTAATTATAAATTTCACACTATTCTAGTGGCTTTACATAATTTATTATTGAAATATGGTACTAGAGACTCTTATAGAAATACATATTAATTTGTGACCTAAACATGGCATTAAAAGATTGTTTTAGAAGTTTTGCGTGTCAAAATAACATTCTGCCGTAAGTTTCTTAAGTTGGTTTTTAAAAGCAGGAGGTTTTTTCAGTCAACTGAATAATTATCGAAGTTTCAAGAAATATCCTGCACCGTGAAATTAATGAGTGCAATGAGTGAGTTAATTACTACTAAATCTCGCTTTAATTTCAGTACTTCAGTCTCGTCATTTTCATGTTTGTTGTGGAGTTCCTGTTTGCAACTCTTGCGTTTGTATTCCGTGAGAACCTCGGCGGTACTCTGAAAGAGGAATTAACTGAAGGAATAAAATTGCACTACAATACCTCTGAGTCCAATAGCCTTGAGAACATCTGGAACCATATTCATAAAGAGGTAGTATTTGATTCATATCTGTTGGTTTCATGACTGAAGAAAATATTTATGTATCTTTGATGCTGAGTGTAATGGTTTTTGTCTTTAGGTCGCCATTCATCCAACTTTTGGTTACAAATTTGTGGGTTTAAACCCTTGCTATGTGGTTTGAATATTATCACTAATATTATTATTTTTATTGCAATAGTAAGGGAATATTTTAATATTTTATTTAGTAACTACAAATCTACTGAAATGTAAATTTTATTTCCAGTTCCACTGTTGCGGAGTAACAAACTACGAGGACTGGTACCTCATTGATGCTTGGCCAGGAAAGAGGAATGTCCCAGCTTCGTGCTGCCTGTCAGAGTTTGCAAATGACACAGGTGAATTACGGTGCCAGACGTCGAGTTTCTTTGGAAACATCCATATTTGTGGTTCCCTTAAAGTCTGAGATTGATGCAATACATCATAGTTATGTAGTCCTTTGTACATTGTTTTAGATACATTTAATGTATGCATTACGGGAGTTGATTCTGCTTGTATATTCTTGTATTTGACAAGAGATTGTTGTTATACTGACAGGTATTTCTACTGCTTTTATTTTAAATATTATGGCAGTAGTTCGAATGATACTCATGAGGAGATCTAGTGGTTGAAGTACAAGTTCAGCATTCAAAGAGTTCCAGATTCAGATTTGACTGTTACGAATAATATTAAAAATATATAAATGTAATTAACCATCGTCGCCGAAAAGTTTCAGAGATGAAACAGTGGACAAACTAGCACATGAATGTGCGCTTCAAATTATATGCTCATTTAAAATACTAATGTAAGGATTACATAAAATATCAAGTGCAGATTACAAACCAAGTGCAACGTGCGACTGATGTAATTCCCAAGCGACGCATTTCCATTGGTTCTGAATACTGAAACTTTACTTTATTTGCAGCCTGTGGATATGAAGGGAACCAAGATATGTGGTACACCACTGGCTGCGCAGAGCAGGTACAGATGTGGTTCGTGGAGAGACTGCACATTGTGGGCATTGTCGGGCTTGTTGTCGCATTCATTCAAGTAAGCAGTTTACGTCTATGAATTACGGTGCTTTGAAATGTACAAGAAATTAAAAAGGATCCAAGCCTGGCAGCCTGAGAAGAATTCATTATACTTAGTCACATGGCCTCCCTCTTGTGTGTTTGTTTTTAACATTCAGTAGAGGCTAAGCGATATCACATATATTACACTCAAGCTGCATCGTTGGTGTACCCTTTTTTTGCTATCGTCACAAGACATTTATGTTGCAGTTATATATTTTCTGTTATCCAACAAATTTCAAGTAGAATTTGAACTTATAAATTCTTTTTGAATATGATCCAAGTTACAATCACTTTTAATTTCAGCTATTTGGGCTTATCTCGTCGATGCTCCTTTTCTGCACCGTCCGACACAAGCGAACTTCTCACACCTACAAGTCGTATGATCCAGCCACATGACTATTGCGGGAAGGCGACGAGTACCACCGTCGTTGCCAGCCCTTGTGAGGGAATCCTTAAACAACCGAAAGTGCATTAATGGAAAGGCTTGACTGTGAATGCAAGATTTCCAGAGACGGAGGTGAAAGTGTTAAATGAAGCCATGAACATGAATTTGAAAAATGTCTTGTTATTATGACGACTTTCCTGCATTACAAATGCTTAGATCTTAGGAGTTTTCTAGAGTAACAGTAATTATCACCTAGTCTCTGTTAATACAAGGAAATAAGTAGGCATATTTACAATGTGTTCTTAAAACTATGGTGCAGTCTTAAATCATTGATGTATTGTAGCAATTGCGGCAGAGACGTGGATGAAACATGAAAATTTACACCTGTTGCTAATAAAGTTCAGTGTGAGGCCATTTGTTCTTGTGCACGTCTGTCATCGATATTCTAATTCTTGCCACGTGCAAGTGAGAGAATTTTATTTAGAGACTCGGCAGTCAGTCTTTCTGCTCCTGTGCTTCAGTTGGTCCACACTGTTGATTTTCACACTCAATCAACTTCTTTGAAATCGTCTTTGTAAGTAAAAGTCTGGCAGAATTGGTTGAGGTGCTCTCACATTCCAGTTCACCCACCAACTTGTGAAGCGCTAGTCACTATGAGTGTCAACGTAGGGAACTGAGGCTCCATCAAGTTGAGAGACTATCTTATTGTCTTCAGTTATGGTAATATAGAGACACGCTTCTTAATGTTTGGAACAAAATCATCTATACCTTGATATTCTGTGTGCTGCTAATGGGAATAATATTTTTCTTAATCAAGACTTGCAGTTGGTAGTGCTTCGTATTGGAGGATTTAAAGAGCAAGGTCTGAAAAACAAAATGGACCATTATCAATAAAACTTGCCTTTTATTCAAAGCATGTTAGTTCTGGCTTGCACAGAACCTTCATTATCATCATCATCATTATAATTGTGCAACTTTTATAAAGTACAATAGAAACCTAATAAATAAATAATGTAATTATTTAAAATGGAGTATACAAAAGAATATATCTAAACTGTGACTACAGTTAGAATTAACAGGAGTAGTATATTTTTGAAAGAGATTTGGAATCAATGGGGCTCATATGACATTTGCCACCTTTGCCTCCAAATAAATCTACCACTGGGGTCTTAAATAAAGGAATGGATCAAAGCTTAAAAATCAAATATTTTTATCAGTTTAGTAGTTCATAGTTAGAACGATGAATTATTTTATATAAACTTATCTATACAAAATTATATGACAGGAGGTATGAGATATCTTATATCATGTTGAAAAGTGAATATATTATAAAGGAACATTATTCCATTGCATGTGTTTACAAGTGTTCAAGTTTGTCTAATTATTTAAAAATTAAACTTTAGGAAGTGTTTTAATGCAAAGCAATAAAATGGTAACATGATGCATCTTTTTTAGGTTATGTTAGGTTAGGTTACATTAGATTATATGCATTCTATGAATCCCCTTTAACGAGGTTGTGGACCAAGTAAGTGTACAAAAATACAAATGGAAATACCACAATAAAGAAGTGACATACAATATAAAAGAAAGAAAAACTATGATATACTAGTATTAGTCTTATGTTTAAAAATGTGAGTTTGGTTAAAAAGTTGATACACATAATTTACGTTTGTCTTATGCTTAATTTTATGTAAAATAAATTTGATATAGTTGCTCCACAGTAAGTTTGAAATTCTGTACATCTCCTATAAAAGTAACTCTTTAACAGAACAGAGGAAATGAAAATTTAAATTGTGTTCTGTCAGTAAGATATATGTTTAATTCTTAATGGGATCTTGTTATAGGTTTAATATCTGCACAGAACATCTTGTTTTCCACATCTCCTTAATCTCTTGAAACTCATATCTGTCATTTTACAAGACTGTTATAAAAAGACAAACATTTAATTAATGTTACAACTGGCATGATCAGTTCCTGTGTGATTAATCCAAGAGCATTTAACATTCCAAAATATATTTATTATTTATTAGTCTTTACAGGTAGGGAAATAAGTGAAAACTTGGCATCCTCAGGATTTTTAGAGAACTCAAAATAGTTTTCAAATATATTTATTGTTCAAATTACAACCTTGCTGAAAATTCTTATAGTGTGTTGTGAATGTCTGAAATTGTCATTCGTTTCAGTAGCTGTGTTCTTCTAAAAATACTTCTGTTGTTCATAATTTTATTCACATTAAATCCTGAAATAAATGTATATTAATGCTTTAATTTCATGCAATATGTATTTGGTTATTACATGGTTATGTTTATTTATTTATTTAGAAACATAACCTTCATATTGTGTTATTGATAATGGTGTTGGGATTTGTTGTTATTAATTTGTTAACTTATATCTAACAAGTACAACATACATAAAAATATGTAATTGGCTTAATAAAATATGTGATACCATGTAATGATTTTATCAATGTCAGATTTAAATAAACATATCACATTCTATAATTTCATTAGTTATTCACTGAATGTATATGTAAATAATGAAAATATTGTGATTATATACTCATTTTTTTATTGTCTAGCTTTTATTAATTGACTCATTAATGACCTCACATTAATTTTTATTATAGTCATTTGAAGAAATTCACATTCACATCATGAAGTGCTAGTTAGATTCTACACCTGGACCACCAACATTTAACCATGTCACCTTTCTGGTGTACTATGCACGTGTATGTGTCTCAAGTGTTTATCTTCAATAAGTGCAAGTGTAATGGAGGATGACGATGGGGAAAAAGAGGTTATAGGAAGAATAATGCGAGAAGTTGAAAGAAAAAACCACACATTTTGTAAATAATTTTATGGCATATTTAATCACAGAAATTATTTTTATGTATTTGGCTAGACAAAGCATGCCCAGTAACTAGGGCATACTAGACTTCTATTGTTTTGTATGATGGTAGGAAAAATTATGTTCACTTTCTTGCATAACAGACTGTACATTCTTATCAACGTGAAAATATTTTTATAGAAACTACCTTCAAATTATAAACACTTTAATGTGAAACATTACAGTGTGGAATTGAGTGCATAAAAAAACTGCCTTAAAACAAAAAAAATTGGTTTGATTTACCCTTTTCTGATACAGATTCTGACATTGTATGTTAAATGTTTTTGGTTATGTAAGCTCTACAACATTATGTTATATTATTCAGTATATCCTATTTTAGATGACACATTACATGATTTCTTAAACATTTGTAAGTGATGATAGGTTTGATCGTACCTGAAAAATACCACTTAGACAGAATGATATGTCGAAGTTTGGTCTTTAACTTTTTCTGTAAGTTGGATACAATCTTAGGACAAGGGGTAAACATTTATTTACATTATGTATGGGAAGGACCCATATAGTTTCACACATACATATTCTTGTTTGTGTGTTACATTTATATTTTATATTTCTGGAATTCATTCTAAAACATTCTTTATGAACATGTATTGCCAAATTTAACAGACTTCATGAAAAGACAATGTGTCTTTCAAAGACCAACAATCTTTGATCCTATGTTGTTCAGTTTTTCTGTTGCCTTCCTTGTAAAGCTCTTCAATATGTCATATGGTAACTAGAAGCAAGAATACAATTATTACAAAGGATATCTGACAAGAAATACAAGTATTTAATTTAAACATTAAATAGTTACAGACCAGTCATTGTACAACTTGTTCAGGGGATAGAAGACCTAACAAAGAAGCCATATACCTCCTAGTTGTAAGTTGTGCTATGTATGGTCTGGAAACCTATTTACATAAATGTATATATATAATTTTAGATATTTGTATAAGCTACAGCCTGTATTGTAGCGACTCGCACTGTGGCGGTGGCAAAAGGAATTAAAAGGTAAATTTGTAACGTGAAGTTGGGAAGTTTCGCTGGACTCTATTGCCCGCCCTGGGAAGCCAAACTGTGACCCAGAATGCCATTGGTATGTAGCGGCGCGGTTCTTTTGTGCGGAAAGCGTAGACAGTGAAGATGGTTATCGCGCCGTGTAATCTTGTAGAAACTGACCATCACTAGGGCGTGAAAAGTTTATATATAACAGTGAGACATAGAATATCAATACCGTTGTGATTGGGTATAATAATTCTTCTGAAGACGTGGGAGACAGTGTTTCAAGGATTTGTCAAAAATGATGATTCATCTAAAAACATTACATTCACGCCTCTGCCAAGTAAGTGGAGCTACAGATAAATTATTTATTATTACAGATTGTAATGGCATGCCATGTACGTTTAGTTTCGCTTGTGTGTTTTGCACGCAGGTATTCCAGCGTTGTTAGATTAATGGCTTTATTGTAATCTTAATCTTGTTTTATTTATAAACTAAGACAGTGAATAATGCCTGACTGAAGTAGCTTAAAGGGGAATATTTATATAGATCATATCTTTAATTATGTCATAATAATCTTTAAATAAGGCTATTTTGTGGCTAAAACCAGGGCTGTGGAGTCGGAGTCGGTAAAAATGTATCGATTCCTACTCCGACCTTGATATAAAAGTTTAAGAACACTTCCGCTACCGTGTGAACCGCCGGCGGCCACTCGCTTAGGGAGATTCAATGACGCGTTGAGCCACAAGGTGTGGGAATAATTCTTTGTAACTTTGGCTCTGGTAACTTAAGAATACAAACTGTCTACAAATCAACCGATCTCTGCAATAACCATTAGACGTATATTTAAATATAGGTTATAAGTCTAAAAAGTTGGCTGACGATTAACGTGGTGGTGATGAAATCTCCTGTGGTACCATTTACCATTTTAGTAGGTTTACCATTATTAATACATATTGAGCTTCTATGAAGGAGTTGGAGTCGGAGGTTTTTAGTACCGACTTCACAGCCCTGGCTAAAACTAAATAATCTGTTTAAATAATGGTCTAATATTTTACTATAATTTTGTCAGTAAGAAGTCCAAGGGAGCATTTTATGGTCAGATTAATCTCAATTCTATTAACTGCAAAGCGCAGGAAATATATCTCCTACCTTGTCATTGCCCTCTGTTAACAATATTATCGGATGAAGTAGAATTGCTAGCAAACATTTTACAGATGTGATAGAAATTTGTCTCTAATATTAAACTCTATTGGAGAATAGACTTCATTTATTATGACAGTTCAGCAAGTCCTTAAACAAAGAAACCAGTCCAAAATTGCAAACAGTGTATCTGACTGTAAGCTTTCCCTGTTAGACTCCTCTAATGAAACATATCCATTCACTGCGGTATGTCACAGTGACCATTACAGAATGTTTTGAACAAATTTACAAATATTTTTGAATTAGGATTTTAATTAATGTTACACTTAAACTTGAATAATTATAACTTAACGAACTGTCTATAATCAGAACCATTTTAAAGTAAAGTTTAATGTTATAAGGAGCAATGCTTACATCAACAGCAGAGCTGAGGAAGTTGGTCACTTTTTCCACTCCTCCCACGATGCTGCGCCCCACCTGACCCAGCTGTTCTCCGTCATTGCCATATTTGTCTTCCTCTCGAATCGTGTCCACGATTGGCTTGGGCTGTACGTGTCAATGCAATGGTTTTGTTATTTTTATCCAAACATTCTCAGGGTTTTAAATGCTTAAATTCTCTATCAGTCTTCATTGACCGTAAGATTCTCATAGTTCTACGTATCTTGGAATATCACAGGAAAGAATTATCCCTAAACCCGACATCTTTGTAGGGATTCGAGACCAGGTTAGATCTTGGGCTATTTTATCTTTGTTCTCGTAATTTACTCACCGACACAAAATAAATCTGGTTCTGACGCCGTGTTTTCGTGTCTTTAGATTCCGAGACAAGGTTAAGATTACGTTGAGCTGTACTCCAGCGTCGCCTTTGTTTTTCACGGGTTGTACTTCATATTAGATCTTTGAATCTCAGATATTTATCCATGTTTCACGGTGCATTTTCTCGACATTTCTTACTTAACTTTTTCCTGTAGCTCGTATGATTTATATTCTGGAGGTAATCGGCATTGCCTATCCTTACTAAGGTTTCAGATATCCTGGTGAATTCTGGGTAAATGCTTTGTCATTCACCGTTCATAAGCATCCTCGTTTCTGGAGGTAGATAAAACGGTAATACCTTGGACTTGTATCCGGGAAGTATTAGTTCCATTTGCTGTTTAACGGCGATGTCATTAGATCAAACTGTATACAGCGTCGAATGATACAATCTTACCCGCCGTTAAACGACGTTTGTAGAGAATTCGATGACGCTAAACCCGTGAATGGGTACATAATAGAATAAAAATAATCTTACCTGCAACATACTCAGAAGTAGAGTCTGGAAGTAGTTCAGAGACGCCATGTTTTGTCCATATTCAACTCTTGTCCTGTCCCCTGAATCTACCACTGGTTCAGAACTCTTGTCTGGTGATGTAAGCTGAAAGAAAAGAGTTCCTAGTGTCCTTAAACTGAATAAACAATTTTCAAAACTTCTTTAATCTGTTTTGGTTTTAGGGCAGTCAGAAAATATTTTTCCTTGTATTTCTCTAAGTACTAACTACACTGCAAAATAAACAGTCACGGATATTAAGAAGAAGGGAATTCATGACAATATGTGCATATTTTATTGTCCTAAACATGGCAATAATTTGTTTCAATAAATTTGATCTATTAAGACTCAGTTGGATAATTTAAGTAACAACCATTTCTATTATAACACGTGCAGTTTTTATACTACATTGTATTACAATTTCAAGAATGTAATAAATAAGAACAATGTATTCATATTTTATGAAATTCCTGTACACAAGGAATCACTCACTGATCGTTTGACAAGCCAGTCTCATCTCAGTGGGTAATTTGTAATCTGACCCTGTTTTATCTTGCTTTCTCCAGTGGGTGCTGAGAATTTTTAGTCAAAGTCTCGCATTAAGTGAATGTATATTCACAGTTCCTAATGTCACTTTTATTTTAAAGAGGGTAAAACGAGGCGAAGTTGCTCTTGTGAAAGTGTCTGGTGGAAATGAGCTAGAGCTCCACGCATTCTTAATCTCGGCTCGAACAATGTATCCATATTTTATGAAATGCCTGTACACAAGGAATCACTCACTGATCGTTTGACAAGCCAGTCTCATCTCAGTGGGTAATTTGTAATCTGACCCTGTTTTATCTTGCTTTCTCCAGTGGGTGCTGAGAATTCTTAGTCAAAGTCTCGCATTAAGTGAATGTATATTCACAGTTCCTAATGTCACTTTTATTTTAAAGAGGGTAAAACGAGGCGAAGTTGCTCTTGTGAAAGTGTCTGGTGGAAATGAGCTAGAGCTCCACGCATTCTTAATCTCGGCTCCAGGTGGTAGTTGAGTTTTCAGTTTCACGCCCCTGGGAGGAATTCCAAGGACAATGGACTGGCTGGGAGATTTCGTACCTACCGCTGCAGACGGTTCGCTGTAACTTCCTTTGATGTTATTTCCGGGGCTGTCAGCAGTCGTCGAAGTTATGGGTTCCGTAGTGACTGTCCTCTCATTCTGTCCGGCGTCAAGCAGTTCAGTCCTCGTGGAATCTTTCGTGTTGTGAGAGGAGCTTGAAATCGGGAATCCTACCGCCAGAGCTGAGAGGTAGACTAGATACAGCGCAGATGTGCTCCTGTGCAACATCTTAATACCATTCACTCCTGCAATAAAACGTACCGGAGAATAGTTACGAGACGTTCGTTTTATTCGCGTTGTACAATGAAACTTTCGAAGACTGATCCATAAAACCAGTGTATAAAATGCGTGTTAGCCACGTGGGTTGTAACGCGATTTAGACAAGTAGGTAGATACGGATCTCGTCCTTAAGATGGAGGCAGTATGTTCAACCGAAACGTTGATATGTCCCTTTACAACTCAGGATAACAACATCGACTTCACGATTTTTCTGTAAATGACTACAATCTGGATTATTTTAGTAGAAATGTTCAGGAGATATGACACTCGTCCTAATATTGACTGTCCGCAGATGAATGAAAATTAAAATCCGTACTCACACATGAGGATGCCCTTTTCTCCCTGGTCCTTCATCCGCCGTCAAGGAGTTTGTGACTTTCAGCACGACAGTAAAGTTGCGGTTGTCTGGTTTCTTTTAAGCAGGCAGGCAAGTAAGAGCCCCACCACAGCGCGCGGCTTGTGAAAGTAGGCGCATTAGCGAGAAGAAAAGTGTAAACACAGCGTGGTGTGAGGAAAGTGTCACAAGGCACACTGCGATTACAACCTAGTTTTCTTCCATCGTGCTCTGTATTGCATTGTAATCAATCGAGTAGCCCAGTTACAGCTCAGTATTTCGTAACCTTCGTATCAGTCACATTCTTCGTGCGTATTCCAGTGCTGACAATATTACGATTCAAATATCCCTATAGGCGGTTCCACGATTACTGTTTCCTATGTAATTGGATACAGGTAATCTGTATTCACGGACATTCATACTGAGACTTTCGTGATTTTTCCTGCAACTTCAATCCAGTGTTGGACACAGACGATGACCTCCTGTAAAACCTTTACCTGCTCACTGTATATGCTAGGATGATTGTGGAAGGTAAAATTGCAGCCACGAAAACTTTTAAAAGTTACTAGCTCGGTATTTGTCTCCAGTTACATCAGGAGTCAAAGAAGTCTATGTTGGCTTGAGCTACGGATTTTCCTAAATATAAGTGAAGCTGAGCCAAGCGCCATTGTTTGAAATTTGTAATTGTTTAGAGAGCCGGCTTCTTGTCCTGTTAATAATGAGGCAAATGGCCGAATGATGGAAGCAGATTCGAAATAAGATATCGTAGCATGAGTTACTAAAAGACGGACATTTCAGTCGTATTGATATCTGTTTTAAGCCACATAGCAGGACGGAGTTAAGCTGGACAACGCTTTCGATGTCGCTAATTAACAGATGTTACCGTATTAAGTTGTTTTATAAATATCGGTGGGTTTTATCAGGTACTGGCGCACTAAGTAGCAAGCGTGCAGGCCTGATTATGGACCACTTATTTGCATCACTTACTTGGTTTTTAGAAAGCGACCTGCTTCACTGACTTTGGTAAACTTTCCCATACTTACCATGGACAAGCTTCTCCGTCCGTCCGTCCGTCCGTCATCGAAGGGTATTATGATTCCTCCATGCTTTACCCTAAAAATGATATTGTGTCTTCCACAATTTTTTAATATTCTCTTTGTATTACTTATGATGAGTCACAAAGACGACATCACTTTAATATCATGTATTAGTTTAGCTAATGCATTCATTTGGGTAGTGTCTGCTCTGAATTAAGTAGATGTAGACCCGGAAAGTAGTGGAATGACAAATTTTCATCCATTTGTAGAACGTTTAAAATAAATTGTTGCTGAATTAAAATAAAACAATGCAGTATTTTAAGCATCACTTATTTTTATCGAAAAAGTATTTGTGCCCCTCCAAACTCTAACCCATAAATATAATAAATTAATTTTTTATCATCTCGATTTGTTAAACTCTAACCCATAAATATAATAAATTATTTTTTTATCATATCGATTTGATTCTGTTGCGTGGAGCTTAGTGACATAATGATATGACCGCCACTCAAAAACTGAAATTATTGCTCTTGTTACATAAAGCATAGTTTATTGAATATACACGGATAGTATAATTCTTTAATTTACAGTTTTGCTTAACCTATCAGTTCCCGGAGTTGAATCTTGTGCACTTTTATAGATTTTTGAGGACTGTTCCATTTCTACTGAATTTCACTTTTAAATTAATACAAGCCACGAAGGCTGGAAGCGAGGCTGTGTATGAAACTCAACACTGTTGCATTTTATTTAGAAATGAATCACACATTGATCTTATTTTAAACGTAAAAACGTTTACAAATTCTTTCTCTAAACATTTCAGAAAATACACCTTCGAACGTAATGTCCAGTTCTAAATGTTGTCAGCGATGTTACAAACCCTTTAGGCAAGATCCCGTTAATAGTAACGGAAGCACATTATGAGAGTTGCACGATGGATATTTTAGGGCCGACGGCCCCTGTGTTTGAGCGTTTTTGGTCCTTGCGTTGAGCTTCCTTCCGTTTTGGTTTGGTTCAAAGTAGTGCTTTAAGATTTCCGCTGAAGTTGGCCGTTTCCAAAACTGTTGCTGAGGAAATTACTGACGGCCTTAAGAACTGATATTGGAATCTGAAACACATGAAGTACCATTTCAGGGATTTGGACTGCTCATTAAGGGGGTTCCGTTGTTGCTGCTTCGGTTTTATTGTAAGGTAGCGGAATATGTGATCAGGGGAGCATGACTTGTTCACATCTGTACGTAGACAGAATTTTTCTACGTATCGTGCCTGAGATTTTGTACCACCCCCGCGATGTAATGGATGATGAAAGATAATTTATAAATATGGCGCTATAAAACGATGCTAAATTTGTGTTTTTATTCAGAGCATCCATTTTTAATCTCATTATTTCTTTGTAATTTATTACACGTTCGTAAAATATTGATATCATAATCCGTTAAATTGTTCTGTTAACAACAATTTTGCTTCGTATTAGGGAAGTACCGAATTTCTTCTCAGCCCCGCGACCTAAGTCCCTCAGGAAAATTCAAGGATAATAAATTAATTAGGCCACGACCGCCTTCTGACATGTCCCTTAAAATTCAGTAAACATATCATTCGACGCATGTGTACTTAAGTTGCTGACAGTGTCGTTAAATAAGCCACAAATAAATGAAATAAACTCTCTGAATACGTGCTGACGAAGTATGAAGAACGATTTGAATGTATTTTGTACACGCATATAAACCTACACAGATCATTATGTTTCTGATTAAAATCAAATTTTAATATAAATATCTGCATGTTCAATATTTAACTGAAAAAAGACGACGTAATATCTGACTGCACTGTAGAATGTGTGGTGTTAACTTTGCAACAGTGAGTTGGTGTCTACATTAATTAACATCAAGGCCAATGAAAAGTGTAGTAAAAAACAAACCTGGAAAAGAAATGTACTGCTTCCCGTTGGAACGTACGTCAAATTGAATAAAAAAAGAATCAGCCGTCTGAGTGTTACAGAGTTACAAAACATGCTTCAGACCGTGATGTATCTTCGAACGGTTAACAGATGGCAGTTGCTGCTTTGTACTCCACAGCTCTAAATTATGTGCTTTTCATTGTCGTAATGGATGGAGCTGTATTTCTACGCCACACACTACGTAATTTATTTAGTAGCAGGAATTTGATATCAGGTGTGTTCAACCAAGGGTTTCTACTACCGACAAGTAAATTACCTGGAAGATATCGTTAATGAATTTGGAGAAGCCGCTGGAAGGAGTCGGTATTGGTGGTGCTCGTGTAATGTGCACCTTGTCAGTTGGTGATGATGACGTCACGGTCTGTGACACGGTTTTCTGTGCAATGGCCTCTGATTTCTGTAATTACATAACATAATTTGAACTCAAAGAATATCACGGTGATCAAATGGAGAAGGAAGAGATGAGTGGTGCATGTAGCACGCTAAGTGGAGGTGAGAAATGAGTGTAGAGCTTGAAGGAAAGAGACCTCTCGAAAGACCTAGGGATTGTTGGCAGGAAACCTTTAAGATGGATCTTTAGGAAATAGTATGGGAGAATTTGGATGTATGTATAAAACAAGTATTTCAAGTTAGAAATTTTAAAATACCTGTATACGGGATTTCCTCCCACCTTTGGTGTTGGGTTGTCGATTTCATTCTTTGTTTCTTCGGGTTGTGGTGATCCTGCTACAGATGTCAACAATGCGATTACCACCACCAGGATCGCTGATACTTCTCTCATTCGTGACATTGTGACGTGGAAACTGTTCACAACAATGAATTTGGATTTAATTTATAACCTACTTAATAAATGAATTAAATTCATCATCGATGCTATGTTTTTAAATACAGATGAAGAAGTTATCAGTAGACTATTTGACAATCTGGTGTTAGAAAATAACTTTAAATTACAATAAAACTAACATGTTACACATTAGGACAATGTTGGTTGCAGTTCGAATAATTTATGGGACACATGAAAACATCTGTCGCTTAATTTATGGGACACATGAAAACATCTGTTGCTTTATATTGTTGTCAACTAGGTTTTGATTTAACACAAGAAATAGCCTCTTTATATGGTGGTATCTGCCCCATTAGTTGCGAATGTCCAGGCAAATTGAAGGATTGTAGATTTTATCGCATAGCAGCAATGAAAATGTGAGGACACTGTGAGGTTGTTAAGGTCTAAGGCTTCATAAGAGACGGACTAGTCTAATGCACTAATGAAAGTATCACGAGGAGATCTGAAAGTTCGTAAAAGTCGCTGAAACCAGTAAAAGGACGCCAGACGACTGCATTAAATGAACTTTCAAATGCATCGTATAAGAAAATGCAGCAGCAAAGTTGCTGTTCCTTTTTATGAATGTGATCGTTTTATTAGTTTCAAGAGACCGTTATATCACTCGGCGAATAAAACTTTCACTTCAAGTCTCACTAATATCAGACACCGAGAAAGCTGCCAGATTACACTATAAAGCACAGCTGTACTTGATAACTAATTATAGCGTACTTTAGTAATTACCATATCCAATCAGTTTGGAATATTTTCACTTGTTATTTATGTGTGTGTCTGCAGTGAATTGTATTGAGATAAGAATAGCAGTTTAACACTTTCAATGACACGAACGAGATAATTCGTTAAAAAAACATGAAATTTTTATTTTGAACAACTTTGGGGCTTGATAATAGGTCTGCCAGTGAAAATGTAATTTTTCTAATCCTGAACTGCCTGGAATTTAGCCTTGCTTTACTATGAGTAATTATATTAGTATATTTATAATACATAGCCAATTAACGTCTTAATATAATAGTAGAATCTGCAGTTTAACACTTTCAATGACACGAACGAGATAATTCGTTAAAAAAGAATGAAATTTTTATTTTGAACAACTTTGGGGCTTGATAATAGGTCTGCCAGTGAAAATGTAATTTTTCTAATCCTGAACTGCCTGGAATTTAGCCTTGCTTTACTATGAGTAATTATACTAGTATATTTATAATACATAGCCAATCAACGTCTTAATATAACATTAGAATCAGAGAGATCTCATCACCCACGAAGTTATATGAAATTACATGTAGAAATATGAGTCTTCTAAGGTTCTAGGGTTGGTTACACTTCTGTTAATTCCAAGTCGTCTTGAAAAACTGCCGGTCACATTGAGCGGTGTAACGGACCAGGGTAATAAATGTAACAGCCCAGCAGTTGCTAAAATGAAATGGAAAAATGTTCATCAATTGTAAAATAGTAACTCTTCCAGGTGTTAAATATTGGACTTTTAGCCTGTAATGTAATGTTAACTAAAATTTGCAGGCAAGAACAAATTAAGTCGCGACCTGTCACTTACGCTAACGACAGGTTGAGGAACACTGAAATAGCGGATATGTACAATCATTTATAATATAAGTAGCTCAAAGTCAATTCTATTAATATAACGTATTATTATGAAAGTATTTTGGTTCTAGGAACTGTGACGTAGTAAGTGGTCTCATTCAAGCGTTTGTTGTCTCTTCCTGCTTTGTTTCCCCATAATTTTCTGCTGGTAATTCAGGTTACATAACATGCTATCTCATACCTGGTTCCATGACACGGATTCATATAAAAGGGTACACCGTTGTAGCTCTAAAATATAATTGCGTTATTAATCATTTTAAGCTCAGAGGTAATTACCACCTGCCTGTACAAATAGCAATTCTAAGCATTTTGAAGAGATATTGTGTTTACGTGTTTTGGTTCTCAGGATATCAGCGATTATTTCCCTAAACAGCATTAACAAATCTATATTAGTATTGGTGATGGTTTTTGTTTTCTTTGAGGTACGAACCGAATGTCTAAGTAGTTAATTATTTGAGCTTCAGTTCCACAATGTTTTCTTTGGCGCTGCTATTCTGCTATCCTTCCTATCTCTTCAACTCCAAATGATTTATTTTTTACACATTTTACACAAATCTTTCTCGATTTATACGATACCAAAATTTCCTGATTAACATCTAAAGGCTTGTGACAGTGATTGAGTTTCTACACCGCAATTGTGTACGATTATAAAATTATATTAATAAACATGACATTTCTTGAATTGTCTCTACTCAAGTCTTGATAGTATTGGCTGTAATTATATGCCCACTGACATACGTAGTATCGGTCTTATTTTCTTTATGAATTGTGTATTTGTCAGGATCAAAGCTAGAAAAATTTCGAATATCAAATTAGTACTTTGACCATGCGACCCTCTACAGTGCAAGTTAATAAAAAAAACTACATGGGTTTTTCGATGAATGAACACGAAACAAATGTTTGAGTGAACGTACCTGTGGGGAGTGTGTGGGCGACTCGCGTCTCTTAGTATCGGCAAGCTGATTCTGACTGCACTTCAGTTCACTGGAGGAAAAGAAACTACTGCCTCAACCTACTTCTAGGCAACGAGTGGAAACCAAACGCTTTGTATTCTGGTTTCACCAACGTACAAAGGAAAAGTTAAATCTGTTGCCGTAAAAACTTCATTGACAAGGGACCCTCCTGAGAAGCTTATAGTCGCTCACTTGGTAGAATATTTCAACACCGCCGGTTGATTCAAGCCTACGTCCTAAAAGCTAAGCGATTCTGTGAAAATAAAATGCCAGACAGCTGTTATCAGTTCTTTGTCCAGCGGGGAACAAATCTATTTACAGTGGAGGATGGCTGTCTGCTGGGTTGTAGCGCCGTGTGGTCTGGTAGAAGCTTACCGACGTTTTAGAGGGCCTAGTCGCCGTGAAAAT